CGAGATATCGCACATCCCGACGGTACATCGTCCACGTTTCACTGCCGTATAGAAGAACGGACAGTACCATGGATTTGTACACCATCAGCTTTGTGCCAATGCTAAGCTGATGGTTGTTCCACACTCGGTACTCAAGCTTCCCGAATGCCGCTGCCGCCTTCGACACGCGATTACGCAACTCAACGTGTAGCTGCTGATCAGTCGACATCACACTGCCAAGGTAGCTGAAACAGGAGGTGGTTTCCGATACTTCAGCACCAATGCTGATTCGCGGCAATATTGAAGATTGCACCTCCGGTGAAGGCTGAAAGAGACGGACAGTTTTGCTTGTGTTGATGGTGAGCCCGAATTTGGCCGCCGTCGAAGCCAGAGCACTAGTCATGTGCTGCAACTCATCCGCGCTGTGTGAAAACAATGCACAGTCGTCAGCAAACAGCAACATACGGATAGTTGTCTCACAGACTAGAGTTCTCGTACCGAAACGACGGATGTTCAGCAACGCACCATCAATACGGTGCTCCACACGAACACTGTAAGCACAAGCCGCATCAAAAGCACAAGATAACATTGCATGAAGATATATATTAAACAGGGCAGGAGCTAAGACACAGCCTTGCTTCACACCAGAGACAACTGCAAAGTCATCCGAGGTCTCTCCACTCAGCTGCACCCTCGCTCGCATACCACTGTGCAGACATTCAATTAAACTTACAAACTTACGCGGGCAACCAAACTTACCCAACACCAGCCACAATGCCTCGCTGTTCCCCGTATCAAATGCCTTGGTGAAATCAACAAAAAGCGAGTACAATGGCTGGTGTCGTTCTCTGCACTTCTCTTGCAACTGACGAGCCGCAAACACCATATCTATAGTGCTGCGACCCGAACGGAATCCGTATTGCTCTTCCGCCACGTTAGGTTCCACAACCTGACTGACGAGGCGGTTGAGCAGGATTCGGGCAATCACCTTGCCCACACAACTCAGCAAGTTGATGCCACGATAATTCGTGCAACATTGCTTGCTACCTTTGCCCTTGTACAGTGGTAGCACAAGGGCATCCTTCAACTGAGGAGGCACCTCCTCCTCAATCCAGGGACGTTGCACCAAGTGGTGCAGCGCAGTCAACAACGCGGGTCCACCGTGTTTCAGTACTTCACACAATACTTCACACGGCACCCTATCTGTTACATCGAGCAGGGTGGATAGGGGTTTGGCTGCTACCGCTCAAGCCTTCCCGTATTCTTATCCCCCTCTTGCATTTTCTCTTCCTCATCGTCCCGTTCCAACTTCACTTTTATCCCCGTTCTCAATCCCCAAATTCTTGACTCTCTCCCATCTTTGTTCAGTAATCGGTTATCTTCTTATTTCCACTCACACGCAATCGCAGGGCGTCGCTTCGGTCCAGTCGACAATTTCATGTCCAGGCAAACGGACACCCTCACTTCATCTGCTTCTATTTGGAGCCCTCGGTGCTCCCTAAGACTGGCATGTTGCAACTTGACCAGCAGGCAGCACTTGCCCGGACACTGGGGACCCTATCAATCAATGTCTGCTGCTTGTCAGAAACTCACTTGCAAGTTCCAAGTTCTGTGATTACTCTGCGATCCCCAACGTGCAACACCGGCGGTATTTTCTCATTGCGTTTGTCCGGAGATGAAGCGGCTTCAAATACCGGTCAAGCCGGTGTGGGCATTGCTCTTAGCCCCCCGGGCTGTAGCTGCCTTGATCGATTGGATCCCAATGAACCACCGGATATGCGCTGTCAGATTGGCTATTGCGTTCAAAATGTCGAAGTTGCTTGGGGACAAGCGGTGCTTGTTTGTCATTGCGGCCTATGCGCCCACAAATTGTCGGCCGGTGGCCGAGTGGTCTGCACGTTTGCTTTGCAACCATAAGGTCACCGGTTCGAATCCGCGTAGGGGTGGGCGTCCTCGCGGTATATTCAGCCCGCGCGCGACTGGTGGTGGTCGCGTGGCAGCGAAGCGCCGTTACGGTGTACAGCTGACACATTATTATTATTATTATTATTATTATTATTATTATTATTATTATTATTATTATTATTATTATTATTATTATTATTATTATTATAGTGAAAGACCACTTCCATCATCAATTAAACGCGCTCCTCCGTAACAGGAAAAGTGCGGATACTGTGCTTTGAACGCCCTAGTTGGAAAACCGTTGACTGATGAGCTTCATCTGGGCGGTCAACATGGTGTACGCTCCCGTAATGATAACGGTGAGCGGTTGCTACACCTGTGTGAATGTTAGTCTCTTTTTGCGAACACTAACTTCGGACATATCACCAGCTGGAGCGTGATGGCGCCCACCAGCATTTACGCAAGTCGATCACATTGCGATCATTTACAACTTGGGAGGATGCGGACAAAGCTGTCGCTCGTTTTGAAGAACGAGCGTGAACCCTGACCACGCACTTGTTTGCGCCGATCTGGGTGCGTTTCGTTGGACGTCCGCAACGGCGCTGTGAATGCATGGATATGTACCAGCTGACAAAGATGTTCTGAATGCGTATCAAAGTACGCTAACATCTGACTTGAGTAAACGCTCATTGAACACAATTGAAGATCACTGGTCGCATATCCGCCAGACGTCCTTAGCAGCAGGCATGTTTTCATGTGCCGAATCAACTTTCCAACCTAGACATTGGGTCTCTATGCAGTCTCTGGAACTCGCCGGCGTGTTCCGACCGGAAGTGAATGCAATGAGACTCGCAAAGCTCTCCTGGCAAAACTACTTGCTAGTCTGAAGAGAGATCGCGAAGCGTCGGGGTCTTCTCGTGCCTGGGAGATGGAAACAGCCGCTACTATTGGTAAACATCCGAAGTTATCTCGTCTGATGCGAGAAATGGGTAGCAGGAACACTGGTGTTAGCGAGACTACACGCGACCAGAGTGGACAGTCGATCCACAGCTTGTCAAGCCGCTTGGAGCGTTGGGCCAAACATTTTGAGAAGCATTTTAACCAGCCAGAGTTGCCAGTTTCTCCATCGGCCAGCCAGTGCCCTACTCCCTGGGCCGTTCCCTTCGATGCGCCCTCGCGCCCAAAAATCGAACCTGCGATCAGACGGATGGAATTGAACAAGGCCGCCGGTGCAGATGAACTTCATTCTGCCCTCTTCAAAGCTAGGGGTTCTGTTCTTTTGGACGATTTACGTAGGATATTAGGAAATCTATGGGAGCAGGAGGCTGTTCCGATAGACTGGAGCCGCTCCGTAATAGTTCCAATTTTTAGGGAGGCTCCCGCTCCGAATGGGGCAATCATAGGGGTATCAGTCTGGTCTCCATTGCCTCTAAGTTACTTACGTATGTCGTCCTCCTTAGACTGACTGACACTCATGAAAGCCAGCTGCGTGGACAGCAAGCCGGTTTTCGTCGAAATCGAGGCTGCATTGGCCACATTAGTCAATTGTTGAAGCACCGCTGTTTCTTGGCAGCCCACCATAGTTGTGTTCCTAGACATCAAAGATGCATTCGATTTGGTGGATCAATATGCCCTTTGGGACTATCTATTCAGGAAAGTTGTGCCCGAAATATATGTAACTATTATCCGATCGCTATACGCACGCAGCTCTGGCAGAGGTAGGGTTTACGACAAGCTTTTGCCGCCCTTCAATATCTCCAGCGGTGTTGCCCGCTGTCTCCTTTCCTCTTTAACACCGCCTTTGACGAAGCCATAAAAACTGCGTTCGCCGGCCACGACTTAGAAGGTGAGGAGCTGCTCCCTGGTGAATGACCTCGAATTGGAGTAGGCCGATGACATTGTGCTCATCTGTGACATACCAGTCGCACTAGATAAACTAACTCTGGCTGTCAGCCATTTCCGGCTATGCTTTGCAAAGTGCTTCTCCTCGACTGACAGTTAGCCACTCCTGCAATGACCTTTGGCGGTGATAATTTAGAATTCGTCGAGAAATTCAAGTATCTTGGCAGCTATATCAGCGCCTATAGAACGGAAGATGAGATCACGAACCGTATAGCAAAAGCTCGATGCGCTTTTGCTGATCTGCGCCATCTGTGGTGCCGGCGCGACATTGCTCTGGCACTGAAGGGCAGAGTTTACAATGCAGCCGTACGTACAGCCCTCCTGTACGGTTGTGAAACCTGGCTTATCAAGTCGACAGACATAAAGTGGCTAGTTACGTTCGATCATCGGTGCTCTCGCAGCTTAGCCCATGTCTGGTAGGAGCACCGCGTGAGCAATGAGCGTGTTCGGCGCCGCGTATTTGATACAGGAAGAGCAAGTGAACCGCTCAGCACCATTATAACACGCACAAGGCTCCGATGGTTGTGCGACTTGTTGCGCATGCCAGCACACTGACTCTTGCGATGTGCGTTGTTCACGCGCCGCGGATGTGAATAGACGAAGAGAAGGGGAGGCCAAGCGATGACTTGGTCAAGAAAAATGAAGCCCCTCACTTCGAAGTTGGCAGCGGTCGGTGTTTCCCGATTGCCTGGCTGGGAACCGAGGAATGATAACACGTTTGGTTGGATACACTATTCGCCATGGCGAAAAGTCAACTTTAGTGGCGTTTGTGTTGTGAGTCCCTTTGTCTCTCCTCTTTCCTTTAGCTTCCCCCTTCAACAACGATCACAAATATGATAGTAGCATCATGCTACTTTTTTATAGCTTTTAAGTTTATATCGCTTATTGTCTTACCATTTTCGTGTTGCGGCACATTAGTTGAGGTGTGTTCATCACCCTCGGCTAACGTGTATTGATGATGAGGATGATGATGAGGAATATGACTTGGTCTAAGGAACCATATTCTTATAATTCCCGTACCGTTTGCTTAATACCACAATCGTTTTATTAACAAGTCATCAATTGATGAGCCGCTCGGCATCTATGTTTCATTTGAAAATTTGAACCGATTTGATTTACTTCTCCATCTTTATTATTCCACCGAGTTGTTATCATGCGGAAAACCAATTTTCGATATCTTCTCTACATAATATGATGGTTTTATACTACCGCAGCGGACTTTGGGGTTTCTGCAAGGCTTACGAATGAGAAGCAGAAGAGGGACACATTCATTGGAACTCCTTATTGGATGGCACCTGAAGTTGTTATGTGTGAGGCCCTCAAGGAAAGCCCCTACAATTGGAAGGCGGATATTTGGTCCCTTGGTAAGTTGTCCGTCCGTTTACCTTCCTCATTTATCTCCTCTTTATTCGGTGGCTTACTTGTTTGTGCAAACGGCTATATTTTCTTGTAATTCTTTATAGTTACCTTTATTTACAGGAATTACACTCATTGAGCTGGCTCAAATGCGACCACCTTATAATGAAATCAATCCCACCCGTGTCCTTTTGAAGATAACAAAATCCGAACCACCGACACTTTCCAAGCCAAAGCTTTGGTACGCCACTCCCTTTCCAATAACACTTGCTGAAAGTATTTTACTCCATTATCTGGATCATAGAGGCACTTCATACCCACTTCGTACCCACTTCCTCATATGCAGCTTTCTGGCCATTTTTCGAACCCTTTTCTGTGCTACCTGGAACATGTTGTACCGTTTGACGATGAAGGAACTGGTGTCACTCACTTCTTGGCCACATTTTTCCGTTTCTTACGGACGGATGTTTTGTATGTTGGTGTTTTACTTCCTGGTCCCAGCAACTGCCTAACACTTCATTTTTTCCTTACGTTTACCGCGCTCTTTATCTAGTTGGTTTCTTTTCCATTTTTGGATGACACGGTTTGATTTCATAACCATTTCGCTCACGTATTAAAGGAAGACCACACTACGCGTTTTGTGCACTGTTTTCATGGATTGGGTCACCGATGCATTGAATTGTTTTATGTTTAATCCTAGCATCTATTATATTGTTCATTGTAAGGCGGTGCTTCCACCTAGAGCTCAAGATAGAACACTGGTTTGTGCTCTTTTCTCAATACCAATAAGACTTTGTGGTTTGCACATATATTCAATAACTTCATCCAGTACTGTTGCGTTCTTTTTAGGTCCACAGAATTTAGTCAAATCCTTTCTCGTTGCCTCCAAAAGGATCCAAATAAAAGACCAGAGTGTCGCGAGCTGCTTCTAGTAAGCTTCACTTTTCCTGTCTGCGACCTTTTGAGATTCCCTTTGCTCTTAATTTTTGTTTGATTCTGACATTTTCTTGTCTGTATTAACTGGGACATTTGAGTTAATAGCAGCCATCTCCGTTGCACCAAACGGGTGGCTGATATAATCTCTGTCACATTGGCGGTTCTTTTCCCCATGTTGTATTTTATGGTGTCCACCTATTTCAGGCCTTGTCACACTTTGGTTAGTGTCTGCTTGAACTAGGAAATATCCCCACCTTTTTGCCTTAACTCTGAATCCGGCTCAGCTGTATTGCTTGAACTATCCTCTCCTATCATAGACCCATTTGGTCATGGGTTTCTTGCACTTTGAACATAGTTTGTTTATGTGTCCGTATTGTTCTTTTTCATGCCTCCAATTTTGTGTGATATTGGTCCCATCATCTTACTGTTAAGGCTGTCTTATTGATTTAAATGTTAATGTTGCCATCCGCTGATTGACGCGCAGCGTAGAACCAGTTTCATACAGCCAGGAGAGCCGTTTTGTAACCCTGTATTGATCACAGTAGAACTCTACTGTCTAAGTTTTGTACTATCGCCTCACTAATTCTTCTTTTTTCATGCACTTGCTGCACTCCTTCTGTTCCATTCCCTATGGTCTTTTCCTTTTTTGCGTGGTCTAATCCAGTATTTCGAAACTGTTCTCTTTTTTGTGATGCTTTCGCTCCGCCAATCTTCAGTGCCTGATGCTTAGCACTGCAAGTTTTTTGGACACCTTACTGCATTTGTCACTATGCAATGACACTGCATTTGGGTTCACTCCTGGCATTGAACATATCTGTCTTTTCCGTCAGTACCTAATTTTCCATCGACCACCACAATGAATTTGCCATTCCTCTTTATTCACTCTTAAATATACAGCTTGTTGTTTAATTTTTTGCTAGCGCCAATCGAACAAGATACCGAAAGGAGGCTTTGTTTATTACTGCGCACCCGCTTGTGCACATTCGTTTTTTTCATTCCATCCTATGTTGCTTTCTCTTCGGTTTCCCTGTTTGAAATACTAACGTTGCGGCCGGTTGTTCTACTCTTGAGCACGAGGTGAAAGAAATCGATCAACTGACTATCAGCCCTTGTGAGAAGGTGCTTTTTCATAGAGCCGTCAAACCGCTTAAATGTTGGCGGACCTGTTACTTACCTGCTTCAGTAATTTAGCCACCTAAACCAGCGATAACAATACCTTGGTTACCTCATCTTACCGTATCGCTGTTTCGCGGTATTATGCTCACAAATAACACTGCCTCTTTCTTTTACTCGTTGAGTGACGGCGTTGAAGGCAGTTTCTATAGTCCTCTTTGCTTCTGATATGTAATATTGGAAACAACAGTTTGCGGGTTATTCCTATAGAAATCAACATCCATAACAGCAATCCATCTACAGGCTTTTGTATTTGTATTACTCCGCCTACACCGTGTTATTTCGCTGAGATCGCTTCTTCGCTTCGCTCCCGTCTCTGACGAATTATTTTTGCTCCTTATACACCATCATTGCTATATAAGTACCTATGCAGTTTAGTTCTGCTCTACTGCCTGCTGACATCTGAACAAGTGTAATTCCCCCAGCAAACCCTGTCTTCCCCAGGTCTTCAAGGTTTTAGATGGGGAGTAGTGACAATCGTTCACGAACACCAACCTGGATACTGGAGCATTCTCTACCGTTCTATCTATCACGGTTTCATTGATCGCGTCGCTCATACCGGGGGTCACACGAAGTCTTTCGACCCAACTGTCCCACTGAGGCTATTTTGCATCGATGTCAGTTAGAATCTCAAACCTCTGAGGGTAGAAAGCTAGTACTTCGACTTGTCTTTGCTGTTGTGGGAGCATAACTCTTTGTATTTTTTTTGCTACTGTCAGTCGTATGCTAGGTGTATACCCACCGAAATTCACCTGCGGCTGCTCATGATTTTGGTTGTATCCCTTGCCACGTTTGAAGTATTCCGTGTGTACGTAGATTGCATTCGGCCAGTTTCGAGCAAATATTCTAGGTGCACTCCTCACTGTCGCTTTTACCCTCTAAGCAGTTGTCTGTTGACAAAGAAGTGTTTGAAGAATTATAATTGGTCGATGTAAATTGGAGTCAATACACCCGAGAGGATGTAACAGCCATCCAGTTCTTTTTCGGACGTGCGGTGACCGTCTGACTTGGCCTACTTGTGGTGAATTCCGCTTATACGATTCATTTAACCCACACTCTTGTGGCTGGGAGCCCGAATGAGCATTCGGTGCTCTTGCCCCTTTTCATCCTTTCTTTGTCTCCTTTCATATTGATCACTACTAGCTTCCTCATCCGCACTCAAAAGGAAAAAAGACAGGCCATCCTGATCTCAAGATGTCTTTGTAACAATTTGCTACAGATAGCACACGTCGATTACTCCAGAGCATTTACCTCGGATCGCATCGCGCTCTTGTGTGCCCTCACTAACGCTCATACTTTCTATAACTGCTAAGCTTTCCGCTTTCAAGATACTTGCTCATAAACTGTATTTCCGGTTCATGAGGAAGCAGTATCAGTTTGAATCACCACATCGTTAATCTCCGCTGCTCAAGATGTGGATTAGAATTTTCTACCCTACCCTATGACTGCCCACCGAGCAAGCTCGAAGCGTCTGAATAATGGGTGGCTTTTTGGAACTACATTATATTTGCTTGACTCATAAACCATGGCCTCGATGGAAAGTCCATTTCAAAGTGATCTCGAAACTGCGACGTTGCTTGACTACTTGTCTAGGGATTGGTCGGGTGTGCAAATGAATGCTGAAGGCTTGTAGGATGTAGTAGTTTTAGTGTCATTTTGATCACCTGAGTGCTGCCCCAACTTTGACAACACAGGTGTTCAAGAAAGTCTCCAGGGAGTAGGACTGTGGCTGGAAAAGATGCGCGACTGTTTCAGCTTCAGCCGCCCTAAAGTGAACTTTGTGCTAACCACTTCGATAACCATTGTGACCACCTCAACACCTTACAATTGCCAGCTGGGTCGCTGTATATAGTTTGGGATGCTAATGTCACGCTCCACACCATCGACACGATGTCACGCGAGCCGGTGTTGGTGCAGAAGAACGAGGTGCTTGTCTTCAACTACTTGACTTCATTTTTTGACGAGAGATAATGGTGGCTCATTACTAATGTCTGCTGTAGCCTTTCGCTTCAACGTTAGAAGTGTTTTTAGACTGTCGTTTTAACTCATCATTATCATTTTCCAAAAAGATCCTAAAACGTGTTCTAATTGTCACCAAATTTAGGATTGAATGATGTTTTGTTGACCTCATCGTATCACTGCTCTTTTCGCCGTCCCTTCTACAATAACCGGTCTTAGTCGGAGTCCAATTAATAAACTCCAAACCGCTATCTTCTACTTATCGTTAGAATCTGAAACACCGTTACATGGCCAAACCAAATGCTTGCTTTGGCACCCAGCAACCACCCACAGTAGTCCGTAAATCTACTTGTCCTGCTTATTTGACCGTTTCTAATTGTCACATAGCCGAAAAACTTACCATACTCATCAATATCACTTACTGGTCTCCTCGACATTGCAATTGCTAACGAATGAGGCAAGATATGTCAGCCCATTGTTTACTGGAAAGGTGGGTGTATGGGTCAGAAACATAGTTGCTGCGAACTAAATCCGTCAACAGAGTGCCCGTGCTTGATCACTGACCTCTTCCAGACATTGCTGATGTCTGGCCGCATCACCCCCTAGTTAGTAACCAATCCTACTGTTTGTGTCTGCTAACAGACTGTCTGTTTCCCTTTGGGAATGTTTGTTGAACTCGAAATGTCTGGACTGGTTAAGTCATACTCTTTGTACATCTGCTAGCCGGCTGTCTCTGCATTTAAAAAACTATAATTATGTGGACGGAACTCAGAAATTGTCGGTCAGTAATATGGTAAGAGAGAGAGCAAGAAAGGCTAAGTCGACTTGCTGCGAGTTTATGTTTTGGTCACGCCAACGATGAGATATCCTTCACAACCTCGAAGCCGGTGACGTCACATTCATTTTATCATTTCTATCTCTAGCTCTTCTGTCTGTTGTTTTTGTTGTTCCATCTGTTCGTCTCCTTCCTTCTTTCATTTCCCAATCGTCTTCGTTATCGTCCTGTAGTGACGTAAACCAAGGTACTTGGATCCGCTGCACTTCGGTGCACAGGTTATAGTTGATCAGCTTAGCTTGGATTTTCTGATATCTTTCCATTCTGTGGTCCGGTGCTTTGCAGGATACGCGTTTCGGTTGCACCTCCGTACTTGGTCACATCTCACCTTGTAATCTCTTACTCCCGGCTGCACAACATACATAGTTCCCCTTTTACAATACTATCGGCATCAGATCTGAATGCCTGCTGATTCCGTCATCATTCTGATTGCGATATTGTAGCTGTCATTTCATTTTAATTCTAGGTTTTTGTAACTATCGTATAACAGTTGGATTGGTCACATTTTTATGCAACTTCACCTTATCTCTTCGGCGATCTTTATCTCTGCAAATTTTTTGGTCTCGTATCCGGGGACACTGTGGTTTACTTTGGAAACAGAGGCCATCGCTTCCTATCCCATTTTTCATCTAGATTTCCTATCGGTTAGTACCTTTAACTCACTTCAAATCGCCCCGTGTCATTTTTCGCTCATCGATGCGCGCAACCGTTATTTGTTTATCTCTATGTTGTCTCTCGATGCTCTAGGACCCGTTCGTTCAAAACGTGACAGAAGAAGATCGGAAATACATACGCCTACTTCTGTGTGAGCTCAAAGCAGATGTGGTTGACATCGTTGAAGAACTAGATCCCGCACAGGTGGTGAGTTTTGATGCAATTTAGCTGTCGAAACGGCTGTTTCGTATTTGATCTTATCTTGCAGCATGCGAGCCTGCCATATCATTCTCATTCTTGACAAATCCATATTTGCCACTCCCAGATCATATTGTTTAAGCGCATATACTACCAAGTCGGATTTCATTCAGTGTCCTGTGTGGTCCACAGCCAAACACACCTACTCTGCAACTTTCCATATATGTATCAGGTTGCTGCCAGTGTAACCAATATCCGCTTTCTCGCCACTTATTTTCTAAACTTCAAATTTTGGTTTTAAGCTTCTCGCTATATCGATTCTTCACATGTGCGAACACGGAATTACAGGCGTCTTAGGCGTTTTCATCTATCACTTATTATGTTGCTTTAGCATACATTTTATCGCAGACAAGACATCAACAGTACGCCAGTACTGCGTACCGGCGCTTCACTGCCGCGCAACCATCAGTCGCGCGTAGGCTAAGGATACTGCAAGGGTCACCCGGTCACCTGTGCAGGTTCGAGCGCGCGCCCTCGAATTACAACTCAGGCTTAAGATCCTTGAGGCCACTGGTCGTTGACACCGGATTCGATATTTTCCAAACATCATAATTCCCATTCTCACAGCATGGGACATTCATGACAGTGCAGTTTTTTCGCAATTCATTGTCCATTGCTCCTTCAGCCGTATGCAGTTGTGCATTGTGTCGGTAAAAGTTTACGCCTTACGCGGTAGTTGAAGCTGCCCTGGTCAACATTATTTACTGATTGCATTTGCCATATGCAGGTGCCAGCTAAGTCCTCACCTTCAGACACTCCCTCGGGATATATTTTAGGTTGTAACGCTCTTTTTCTTAGGATTTCGCCTTGCTCTTCACCTTGCAATTGCTGCCTCCAGGATGATTCATTGAGGCTATGCAGTTATACAAAGGGTGCTCTCTACAAATGATAGGATACTGCTTGGGACTTAGCATTGTTCGAATAACATGCCTCGTCTCTCTGCCAGAATACCAGACTCATCGACGCACTCCTGTCTAGTGACTATTCTCCGCATTAAGTGCAGTTGTTATAATCTATCTCCGATACTTACTCCTCGTCGCTACTGACTAAATGGCCAACGTCGTTAAGTACACTTTTTCCGAATCGACAACTACGCTCACCGTTCCAGTTTTCAGGCTTTGTATGTGTTGCGGGCACGTCAAATATTTCCGCAAAAACGCGCCAGAGATTCCGGCAGAATGGTCGTGGAAAGCGAGGTCCAATTCCTCCCCACAACGCAGCCGCGTTTAGCCACTCCGAGACGCGGCCCAACTGCGCACCTTTTGACAATGGTCATCTGCAAACTACCACCTCTTCGTGATGATTGTCTTCCCTAACTTAATAATCTATAGCATTGGCTGTGATTCGCCCTTTGTTGGTCGTAAAAGAGCCTACGGAGGACCGCCTGTCTTTCTTTCCTCTTCGCCTTACTTGGGAGTCGGTCGGGTCACGTGATTTTGTCTGAGTCGTTAGCTGGCCAGCCTTCGCGTCTAAGTCACTAGTGCGCGTCCACCGAACCCCCTCTCGCGTGCGTCCGTTCCGAGGGCTCAGCGTCTTTCCGAATACGTGCGGCTAGGATCGTTCTCACGCTCGCTCAATTTCCGTCTCACCAGCGCGTACCCCGTCTAAGCTAACGTCATCAGGTCAGCGCAACTCCGTTCGATTGGTCAGCGTTCCAGGCTGTTATCGTAGACGTGCTCCAACCGTGCCAGCGACAATCTTATCAGGCGTTACGCAATCAGAACAGAAGCGGCGTTCCCTCATTCATAACAGTGGCGACGGAGTTGACGAACCATGACTGACGAAAAGGCCGATTTAAAACTGATGCTGCAGCAACAACTTAAGTTGATGTCCGTCTTAACCGAAAAGCTCTCCAGTTCTTCCCTTCACACAGGTCCAAGCGCCAATTCTCAGTCAATGGACCAGGTGGTTAGCGGCATCAGCGAATTCCTGTACGACGCCAAGGCCGGGATAACGTTCGAATTTTGCTACCAGCTGTACGAGAACCTTTTCACCGTTGACTTGGCTTGCCAGGACGACGCATGGAAGGTCCGGCTGCTTCTTCGCCAGCTTGGTACGCTCGAACACCAACGCTACACCAACTTCATCTTACCGAGGAACCCGCGCGACGTTATTTTCAACGAGACGGTCCGAACGTTGTCACAGATTTTTGGCGAGCAGTCCACCCTGTTCAATGCTCGTTGTCAGTGTCTGCAGCTGGCCAACCGTGATGCCGACGACTTCATCACGTACGCGGGCGTGATCAACTGTGAATGCCAACGTTTTCAACTTGGCTCGCTCACCGAGGACCAATTCGAATGCCTGATTTTCGTCTCTGGCCTCCAGTCTCCACACGATGCCGATATCCGGACGCGCCTTCTGTCCAAGCTACAACAGGATAGCTCAGTCACACTCCAGAACCTGGCCGAGGAGTGTCAAACGCTGCTCAACCTGAAGCACAATTCCACTATGATCCAGAACGCCGCCGTACCTGGTATGGTCCAGGCAGTCACAGCACTGAGGGCGCAATCGTCCGCGCGCCCCACCCGATCCGAACGAGCGAAGTCCCCACCCTACGCGTGTCGATTCTGTGGTGCTTGGCATTTCCACCGCGACTGCAATTTCCGCCAACATCCTTTCCAACGCTGTGGCAGGGTGGGGCACCGGGATGGTTACTGCCATCCTCCATCTCCCAAGGGGGCCAAAACTGGGCTGGCCCCCACCCGCGATCCAAAGAAGAGGTCCCGACCCAGACGCACACCCAAACCTGCTCCGGTTGGCAGCTCCCTGAGCTTGCTGGCCACGTTTCAAATCAACGCTGCGGATCGGAGAAAATTCGTCGACGTCTTGATCAACAGTCAGTCGGTCCGATTGCAGTTGGACACTGCTTCGGACATCATGATCATCTCCGTGGATTTTTGGCGATCGCTTGGCAAGCCACCGTTCGAACCGACCTCCCAATCTGCCACCAGCGCCTGTGGTGGTTACGTGCAGCTAACTGGGCAGCTGCACTGCTCCGTCTTCTTCCGGGGCGTCACGTTCAACGCGATCTGCTACATTACAAAGGCGATGTTCAACCTGCTTGGTCTCGACTGGCTCGAAACCCTTGGCTTGGCCGATCTTCCTCTTCGGGCCACCTGCATCGCTGTACATTCTCCAGCAGTACCAAACAACAGAACCGACGACAAAGTCAGTCAGTCCGCCCCCGTGTCCCAGAATTGTCCACGAGCCTCCAAGATGCCACCACACCAATCACCTATTCCTTGGCATCCGCCAGCAAAACCGTGGTCTCGAGTGCACATCGATTACGCTGGTCCCATCGATGGCATTTCCTATCTGATCGTGGTTGACGCCTATTCCAAATGGCCAGAAGTGGTCGCCGTCAACCCCCCAACCACATCCGCCACTCTGGGTTGTCTCCAACGAATCTTCAGTCAACATGGCCTTCCCGAGGTTTTGGTGTCCGACAATGGTACCCAGTTTACCTCTTCTATCTTCGAAGACTTTTGTCGCCGACACTGCATCGAACACCTCCGCTCACCGCCTTACCATCTTTAATTCAATGGTCAAGGGGAGCGATTTGTCGACACCTTCAAGAGGGCGCTTTTGAAATCTCGCGGGGAGGGGACCGTGGATGAGTGTCTTCAAGCCTTCCTGCTCTCGTACCGGTCCACACCGAATCCAGCTACGCCAGGATGCCAGTCACCAGCTGAAGCATTGATGGGCCGCAAGCTACGCACCACCAACGAAGCGCTCATTCCGACTGAGAAGCCACCTACTCACTCTGGTGCCTGCAGCAACCACAAAGAGTTCGTCGTTGGAGCTCCGGTCTACGCTCGCGATTACCGAGCAGGTCATCCATGCTGGATCTAAGCAACAGTGACGGCCAGGCGAGGTGACATGCTGCATGATGTCTCCGTGGGCGATGACACCTGGGTTCGCCATCGTAATCAACTTCGACCGTGCCACGGAGAAACCTCCACGCCAGCCAGCCATCCCGTGCGCCTGACTCTGCACACCCTGCTGCATACCTTTGGATTGGCTACACAACGGGAGACCACGGTCGAAGCCGCACAATCGCTGCTGTGTCTAGAGAACCCGCTTTGCCGACAAACGGGAAGAATCTGGAGGTCGCCGAAATCCCTGCAGGTCGATCCTTGTCAGAAGCGGTACGCTTTCTTTTCAAAGGGAGGTGTTGCGGGTACGTCAAATATTTCCGCAAAAACGCGCCAGAAACCCTGTCAGAATGGCTGTGGAAAGCGAGGTCCAATTCCTCCCCACAACGCAGCCGCGTTTAGCCACTCCGAGACGCGGCCCAACTGCGCACCTTTTGACAATGGTCATCTGCAAACTACCACCTCTTCGTGATGATTGTCTTCCCTAACTTAATAATCTATAGCATTGGCTGTGATTCGCCCTTTGTTGGTCGTAAAAGAGCCTACGGAGGACCGCCTGTCTTTCTTTCCTCTTCGCCTTACTTGGGAGTCGGTCGGGTCACGTGATTTTGTCTGAGTCGTTAGCTGGCCAGCCTTCGCGTCTAAGTCACTAGTGCGCGTCCACCGAACCCCCTCTCGCGTGCGTCCGTTCCGAGGGCTCAGCGTCTTTCCGAATACGTGCGGCTAGGATCGTTCTCACGCTCGCTCAATTTCCGTCTCACCAGCGCGTACCCCGTCTAAGCTAACGTCATCAGGTCAGCGCAACTCCGTTCGATTGGTCAGCGTTCCAGGCTGTTATCGTAGGCGTGCTCCAACCGTGCCAGCGACAATCTTATCAGGCGTTACGCAATCAGAACAGAGGCGGCGTTCCCTTAATTATAACAGTATAGGGCGGTGTTAAGATGTCACGGCTTCACTTCAATCATGATTCCTCACCGTCACGTTCATTTAATCAGTCGCCACGCGCTCAGGAATGCTGCGCTCGTCTTATCTGTCCTTTCGGGCTCGTTTGCGATGTACGTTGCCCCTATCTGTTAAGGAACTGGGTCACAATTCTTCTGTACCATTCAGGTAGTGTTGATCTGCTTGATAAACTGTAGGGACTACCATCAAGTGTTCTGTCTTTCACTTCCCTACTGCTTGCGGGCCGTTGTTCACCGCATGAACGTTTCCGTTTTTATCCTATTTTGCTACTAAGTTCCACCTGAACTTTTCTTCCATTTCGTCCATACCTCAACGCATTTCCAAGCTTATTTCCCACATCGGTTGCCGGTATTCATCTGTGTTTGTGCTTAAAAGAGATACCACTTTCTTTTAGCTTAACACGGATACGGTTTGTCGTTTTACATCTTAACGTCCACCATTCGATTGTCCAGATAATATCATGACATCGATGGGCAAAACCTTTTGTAATCTTAATCCGAAACCCTTACCTTTAATGATAATAATAATGATAATGCATATTCTCGGGTTTATTAGACGCCTTTATCAGCATGAGCAATTTTTTACAATTGGTTCGTACTCCAAATGTTAAGTAGAAATAAAAGTCATGTGTTTAGCATTCATGTTTGTACAGTTCAAGGCCCCGATTTGGCACCAAGTAATTCATGGCGTCCTGACAGGGAGCTGTATGTGCAGGCGGAACCAAGCTATCTTTACCTTGGGTGAAAGATGAAGAACAATTGTGCGATGATAAGAGAAACACTTTAACTGAATTTCAAGCGTATAGCATATAGCGTCCAATTTGGGCTAAAAGCTTTTCCATACATTACGGCGTTTTAAAAAGGAGTAGTGAAAGACTGTCTTATTTTCAGCTCAGCAGCGGTACATATAGGCCGAGACAAATAGAAACGAAAATTTATTTGTTATGAGATGTGAACGTGGTTGACATTGGTCAACCGGCTCAGACGTTTTGGGTTGACTGTACGCTAAGCGTATGTGAGTAAGAGGAAAACTGAAACGAAGACTGGAAACACGGATGAAGATGTTGGAAGCAGAATCGGTTACTTTCTGTTTGCCGTCTGACATATTTGCATGAATGCAACAAGGGAAGCAGAGCCGAGTACAAAAAAGGCACGAGTGGTAAAAGTGAATGAAAATGGATAGATTCCGTCAGCTTTTCTTTCCCAACTCATACTTCTTGTTAGGCTTTAAGGTAGGCGTACCTGAGTAAGCAGAATATGTATAGTAGAGACGAAATAGAGTTAACTTTCAGTTTAGTTACTCTGCAAACCACGCTTATTTGTTTATCTGTAAGTTATATTTTCCCGAGTAGGGAAGAAATGAGGGTCGGATAAAGAAGTGAGAAGAGGTTTCTGTCGGATTTTCATCTTTCTTTCAATGCACCTCTTCATGATGGCCTGGTCAAGTAAAAACACTGTACGTAGCACATTTTATGCATAATTGTAATCAGCACATTTATGTGTTGACTCCCATCTCAATAGCATTTTTCATCGCAATTAATTTGCAACATTGTTCGTACGCATTGCGCTGTCACGCAGTTAGAAACCGCTCTTTCGAAAGCTGGTTGTGGTTCCCATGTTCTTATTTCAACAGGGAGGTGGTTTAAGATTTCAGTATACATGTTTTGGTGGAAGTTTCTTCGAACATTGGTTTCCATTTTTAACTCTGGACGTGTGTACTTAGTTTTTCCAATTGCTTATCTACCTTCTTGTTTGAAGTGAATACTGATGTGTAGTGCGAATACAGACTTATAAACCAAGTCAAATAGGAATGTTACTCATAGCTTCATGCGTTTTAGCCACAGTTGCAGCATCTTAAATTTCTCGGAGTAGTTAACTTTGGACGGTCGATTAAAGAGGGTCTTTGCGAATGGTCACTACCTTTTCTAGGTACACGCGGCAGCGTTTCCTGCCGCTTGTAAAAGTAATCGAGCACAAGGAGAACGTAGACCTTAAACAAGCGCGACTTACGTTCACGTATCGAGGATGATTTTAAGATGGGTTTTGCACTTCTTCGTGATCTGGCCATTATGAATCCAATTTACTGAAATTCAGAGTGCTAGAGTACCGGATGCCTAGATCACGTATATTATTACTACAGAGGGTAGATTTACCACCGCAGTAAAGTGCATTTGAAGCGAGTTCACAGTTGCATTTCAACACACAGCTTTTGTCCTCTGACCCGCTACATTTGTCCATTGGTACCAATTCTGCATAACTTGTTCCTTGCGATTATGCATTTTTTGTTCGGTCCTGTGGTACTACCTGAATTAACACCGAAGACCAGTGGGATCATTTTTAACCTACATTTACGTATTTTTGCTTTGACACTTGACGGATTTCTACCCGATTACTTTTTTTCTTTGTTCACTAGCCTGAAGAAGAACAACCGGAAGAATCTGTGCTCGTTCTACCTGACTCAACGAAAATTGAGATCCCTCTGGAAATCATGGATGAGGAGGACGAAGGCCTGGAAGTTGATATCGGGTCGAAGGAAGCCACACACGGCGATGCGACTGAGCTAGATTCTACCACCTTAGCCTCGAATCCGGTATGTTGTTACCCTGAGGTCGCGCAACTCTTCCGTCAGAACTTGCTGCTCCGGTCTCTCTGTGAAGCCTTAATCATCTCTTTATCTCTAAGCGTTATCTCATCTGCTATGCACCACCTACCCATATTTTTGCCTTCCATCTCATGTCACAATCGATACACCAACACTGGAGCTACACTTCGAAAGCAATCTGGTGATAGCGTCCGCGGTCTGCCCGACTCTCTCGCTTGAATGGACATTTGCATTTGTGTCGGCTCGGCGTATCGTTGCTAGGTAACCAGCTTGTCCATTCATTATGGACAGGTTGAATTTAGACGCGCCTTGCGACACCACCGGCTCGTGCGCCGTCTTGCTGCACGTGCGATGATGTCGAAAATCACAGTATTTCACTGTTGGTTAGTGGATTTCCATTGCTTGCTCAACGTGCCTAGTTACTTTTCGACTCCTGGTGGTGCACTGTTTACAACTTTCTGTGCTCTACCTTGATCTGAACTGTCACCAATGTGTTTGATGTCTTTCCCCCTTTATAAATGCCTTGTCTTGGGAAGCAAACCGTTCCTCTTGTGCCATGGGGTTGCATTTAGGTTACCCAATATTTGCATGCTTCCTTTCCGTGCGTATTTCCATTGCCACATTTCCCTAGGATGCGTATGTCAGCAGCTGCGTTCTCACCCAACAATGTTCTCAACTGCCGCTTACTTTCACATATCTCCCTTTTTCCTTCCCCCATCGCCTATCTTTTCTGGATTCGCATTACTTGCAGAGTGATGCACAGCTTTCGACCCTAAGCGTTGGCTCCGAATTTATCTCTCCTTTGGAACCTCCTGACCAGAACCATATTCCTCGGCTCATGCCACGTTCGCTATCTCTAAGACTGCCTACTCAAGGAAAACATGTGGCTAGTTCCGCACATATTAAGCGACGTTCCACGGTTGTTTATAAACCGTCGTCTCATTCCGGCACTTACTTTGCCTTCTCTATCGCACCAAATAACGCAGCGTTGACGTCCTCTGTGAACTCCACCTCTCCTCGGAAAGTCGAGCTTCGTTCAGGCTTACTCACAAGTGCACCCACTGCTCCTTCCATCGGTCGCGTTCAGACTTTCCATACGGATTGTGCGTCATCACACACGATGCCACATAAAGTGTGGCGTACGGAGTTGATCGTTCCCGTTCCTCCTAGTCTGTCGGAGAATGAGTCACTACCCAGGCAATGTACAATCTTTCGTTCAAAAACAGTGGCACCAGTTCCACTCGAAGCAGAAATTGGGCTTCATCTCAAACAGGTTATACCTACACTTCCACTGCTCGTGCGCTGTGCTTTTTTTGTTTCTCACTTCGTATTTAGTTGGCACCGGGTACCTTGCTGCAATCTCCTCATACGCACGGTTCTGTAACCACGCGCACAAGGCACAGCCGGGTAGCTCAGAATGCTTACATTTTAGCCGTTGGATTTCGTTCACTACGCTCAGTTGATTCAGCTTGGGTGGTTCCAGTTACCTTCATCATGTATATCTCATTACGGCTTCCAGGTGTACACTTGTATACGAGTATATGGTCTCATGTTCCCATATGCTACTTTCCTTCACCTCATTCTCGGACACTATTGGTACTGCGATTTTCTCGCTACTCTGCTCATCATCTCAGTCTGACACAATCATTTGGTTTTCAGATGAGGTTTACATTACGCTCGCTGTGCTCACTGAAATTCGGATACTAAAGAATCTTGCTCATTTAACCCATGAGTTCCTTCTTTCGTGCATGTTTCTAGATGTTCTCATGCGTGTTCCTACTGCGTGACATTTTAACGTAGCACTTTTTGTTCGACGATGCGAGCAACACTGCTTTAGCCAGTCCCATTGGCCAAAATGGCCGAGGTTTACCCCGCAGTTGAGGTTACATGTCACAATTTAAGCACACCTGGAACCCAGTACACTAGCCCAAAGGCACTGACATTTTGCTTTTGCTGTTTCTGCAGGCGGTCGTTAATTTCCCCGCTAGAAAGCGCCTGGTTGAAATTCACAGTTAACACTTTCTGTCCGCCGACGAAACGCCCTGATCATTCTGCTGCATTGGTTTCTCAAGCTGGGGTCCTTTGCCACAAGCATTTTGGCCGCACGATGTGACGAGTGCCAATGCGCTCCAATTCGATTTGACGCGTTGCACATTGTCGCTCGCGCACAATAGTTGGGTCAGCAAATTCAGTGACCTCGCCAATTTGGGTATCTTTGATCCAGTTGAGGAAATTTTTACTTATCTCGAAAGTATAGTGTTTCCCCCTGTATGTCTATCTCGGATTATAGTCTCGTGTATCTTGCAAGCCTGCCGTACAATTTTGGTCCCGGTGTCTGCTCAACTTTACTTCTACGTCTTTATGTCCCCTACTTCGTTCCTAGCTGATATGCATAATGCAGTGTACACGTATAATACACAGTGCTTATGCTTTTGATATCGTCCTCCACGTTACACACAACAGCAGTTCCGTGCTTCACTGCTGCAAATCACATGAGACGGTTCTTCTGATGAAGAATAAGGAAAGAGAGAATTGAGATCTGTTATTGGGACATGTGCACTAAGGCAAACATTCGAGATCAGAACACGTACGCCCTACCAACGCAGTATGGTCATAAACTTCTGGCTTTCACCTGGAAGTAAGGCAACGCCGCTAACACTGCTTTTTCGTGTCTTTCACCGCACTAGGCCAAAGCCACGTTCGGCATATAACGGTAGAAACACCACTGGTGTCAAATGCAAATCCTACCCTCTGATATCTCGAAGTTAAACTCCTTACACCAATGGACTAAGCGGGTGCCGTTCCACGGTATCACGAACGCTTTGAAATAGACTTTGCAGTGGTATGTGGGCTTCTCCTTCTGCTTTTTTTCGCCATTCACTAGCTATTCTATCCAATCATGAAACGTCTCCTCGGACCTTCTAGTGTGTCACGGGCGGTCTGAAACTGACTGCCAAGCATAATTATCTTTCGTCATCAACTCACAGCTGTATATATATATATATATATATATATATATATATATATATATATATATATGCGTGTGTGTGGACTGCACCTGAAATAGTAATAGATCAGTGCATACTGAAATAACCACGCTCTTGAGTGATGTAATATGGATGGCCAATTTTTAGCATTTTAATTATTTTAAAGCCCTCTTAGACTATTTAATCAGGTGATTTGTCGCGTGAGAATATGGGTAATCCTAGTTGCAGATCAACAAAACTATCGAATTTGGTGTGGAATCATGCGGGGTTTAAACAAACCCTGATTGTGGTTGCTAGGCTGTTCCATACCTACCTGGTGCGGTTGTTCCAGCTTTTGATACTAGTAGCGTATATTTCTTGTTACGGAGCCCTTGACGTGTATCTTGTTTTAACTCTAAAGTAGGCAAGTGGGAATGCACTTTCGAATGTAACAAGTTGTAAAGGAACATCAAGTTTTACTTTAGACTTTGCAGTCGGAGTGGCTCGATGTGAAGCTGCTTACAATGTTGGCAGTTGTTCAGGGCAGATATGCTACTAGTACAAGTATCTTGTATCGCTGTTCTCAGGCGCGACACCATTGCGCAGAATACTCGATAAATTCTATCGTAGCTGGGTAACTGCAGCTTTTTACCTTTGGTAATGGTTGTCCCTGCCGCTGAGATCTTCATTCTGGACATACTTTTGTTCTGGTTATCTGATTCCGTTTTATTTTTGGGCCATGTTTGTCCGCCTGATTGTTCACCAAAATCGCGAAATGATTGCTCTTCATAGATTAGCAGCTACATTCCAGTTTGCCAACGAAATTCGATATGAATGTCCAGGATTATCGGATGTATTCCCTAGACGTTGTTTCGTTATTTACCAACGTGTCTCTGGTAGATACAGTTAACTACCTATGCTTGTACGTTGACCAACAAGGCATAAACATCGGTATACGAACCAACTAGCAAACAACTGATACTCAGTTGTACCTACAACGTTCAATTCCAGTTCAATAACGAGTTTTATAGGCAGGTTGATGGCATTACAATGGGATCTCCGCTTGGCCCATTGTTAGCGGATATTTATATGGGAATGCTAGAAGGCGATATATTGAAACACCTCATATCGGGTGTGCAACTCCGTAGATGTTATGTGGATCATCTATTTTGTATACGTGATCGGACCACCAAGCCCCAGGATGTAATCGACTGTTTCAACAATGCGCACCCTAATGCCACATTTACGGCTGAGGAAGAAAACAACAATCAAATGAATTTTTGGACGCAAGCTTCATCATAAGATCCAATGGGTCAATCCATATTAAAATACACAGGAAGTCATATTGGACGGGACAATTCACAAACTTTCAGAGCTTCGCCCCACTCAGCTTAAAAAGGACGCAGGTGCGAACTCTAGCCGATCGTGCATACAAAATCTGCAGTGAAGACACCATAAAAGCCGAACTCGACCGAATCAAAGAAACGCTTCTCCAAAATGGCTATCCGGAATACTTTATCGAGTCCCATATGCGGCGATGCATGCCAAAAGTGTCAAAAGAAACTCGAAAAGAAACAGCTTTTCCTGACCCTTCCATTAAAAGGAAATAGGCCAACTAAGATATGCACGCATCGACTACAGCAAAGCTGCAAACGTATCTTTAATGCGGCTCAACTGAATGTGGTTTTCACGAGCTGACCTTTAATACTTCCGAGCTTTAAAGACCGAATGCCGGATCATCTCCAATCAGTGTTAAGCTACCGGTTCACCTGCCCCTGTGGGGCCAGGTACGTTGGACATACGACCAAGCACTTAGGTAAGCGAATCAAGGAGCACTTCCCAGGTTGGCTCTACAATCGCGAAAGTAGAACAAACTACAACACAATTACGAACCATCTAATCAACACCAACCACCAGATAAACAAACAAACTGCCTTTTAGCTTCTCTGCAGTATACCGCCAAGGCATAACCACCAAGTAAGAGCAAACCCACTTGCCACCGCTGAGGCAGTATACATACGCCGGACATGTGTCTCCAGAAGAAGATGGTACAAACACTGCAACTTCCGTGGCAGACCACCAGACGGGAGAGAAATGATGGTACTTTGCAAATCCACCTGACTTCAATTATGTGATCAGATGGCTGCCATCATGATCGCAAGTCAAATTATCTGATCAGTTGTTTCTTTGTTATGCTGACTATAGCAAAAGCCCGAGGTGCTTTTGCTAACCTTCGCCACCTATGGCGCTGGCGCGATATCACTCTTGCCCTGAAGGGTAGAGTGTACAATGCAACCGTACGTTCGATCCTACTGTATGGTTGTGAAATCTGTCCCCTTAGATCAACCGACATAAAGAGGCTAGTTACCTTCGACCACCGGTGCCTTCGCGGTTTTGTTGACATCTGGTGGGAACCGCATGAGCAACGAGCGTGTTCCACGCCTTGTTTACGACACAGGAAGAGGAACTGAACTGCTCAGCACCGTTATTTCACGCACCAGGCTCCGATGACTGGGCCACGTGTTGCGCATGCCGGCCCACCGGCTCCCGCGACGTGCGTTGTTTGCTCGCCGGGGTTGTGGATGGAAGAAGAGGATGGGTGGCCAATCGATGCCTTGGTCGAGAACAATGACGGTCCTCACTTCCAAGCTGACCTCGGTTGGAGCGTCTCGGCTATCTGGTTGGGGTCTGAAAGACCATAAACACGTTCGGCTGGATACATTTGCTGACATGGCTAGCAGCGGCCATCAGTGGCGTTCCTGCTGTGAGTTTCTTTGTGCCTCTCCATTCCACTTAGCCTCTCCCTCCACCACCACCAAACAGCATGCGAGGACACCGGTATAAACTTATCGTACCGCAGTTGAAGCGGGTAGCTCACCAACTCTGTTTCGAACGTAGAGTGGTGAATACCTGGAACAAACTGCCGCATCCGATAATAGAGGCCAATTCAGTGGCCGAATTTAAGAAGCTTCTAGACAAACACTTCGCAGAGGCAAAATATAAATAGAGAAACGATAATTAATACGTTAATGCCCAAGAGCAACAACTGATGCAGCTACACAAAGTATGTTCTACTCGCTGCCTCTAATCAGTATCTTAGCATAATATACTTTTGCATAATCATTTTTTTGCTTCATAGTATCCGGCTGGTAGCTTTCCGGAGCGATGTCCATCCGTTCCCGGTAACTCAGCTCGCATGCATCTGTTGCATTCTTTTCTTTTATGTATTGCGGCACAGTAGCTGAGGTGTTTTCCACCTCTAGCTAACGTGTACAATAATGATGATGATTGTTATGCTGACGATTGCAACCGACCTTACCTTAATGCATATTAATGTGTAAGCCTGACGAGAAAATGAACTAAACCGATGATAATGTTTCGTTGGAAGCACACGCTTTTAGCCTTCCATCTACATTGGATTCTTTCTGACTGAACTAGGACTGCGACGTGTCTTGGACGTTTCGGTTTCTTAAGCTGACTTAATACTCAACAATTTGGGTGCCTAAAACTCGTATTGTTACTTTTAACTGGTCTTACTTACCTTTATCTTGGTGTACGCTTAAGGTTTTTTAGCTGCTCCCGTATCTTTGTTCATGGCCGCGTTGCGCATTTTGCTTCATGATTTCGGCGTTTCAAATCGCAATCACTTCATTCCCGCCTGATTTAGCTTGGCTGTTCCCAATAGTCGCCATTTCTTATACTCCTCGACTGAATTGGTTTTTCGCACATCCAAACTGACATATTTCTCACTTGTTCCCTTCGGCTTATCCATACCTCATCCCAACTGGTGTCTTCTAAGTATTTGCATGTCACCTGTCATTGTCATCAGCATACGTTTTCCTCCATCTGTTCAGCAACTCCTAAGTCAGGTGACAAAAGAGCTAACCGATCAGTTAATAGAGGAGGTGATCACTTCCGAGACCAGGCACCCGTCGGTTCCGTCCTGTCTGTTCGAAGTCATGCGTGACCTCAGCGACGCCCTAGACGCCGTTCCGCAGACAGACGAAAGTTCCCATGCACCAAATGTCGCCCAGCCTGAGTCACTTCCACCTGCAGACACACCGGTTGGTTGTATTCATTTACTTTCGCCTACCATCTATTCTACACTCTACCTGTTTATCACTTTAGGGTTCTTTAGCTATCTTCCTTCTTGGTTCAACTGCTTGACAACTTGGTTTGCGTAACTCCTTGGTGCAGAATAAAACCGGAACATATCAGTGCTCTTAATTTTTAGATATATCATCACACTCCTGCTTTTAGCGATCGGTTCAATATGGCGTTTGATTAGATACAATAATGCCTACTTTTTTTCTAAGTAACCAAGTGGCCTACTTTAAGCGACCACGTTTCTTAAACTAGGAGGGATGGCTGCGTGGTGCACACTCTACCTCCCGAACGTACGGGAAATTTCTAATAACCTCTGTTCCAAACCGATTTTTCACCACAATTTCGCGACCCACTTTCGGTACGTTTCCTTTCATCTTTACCTTATTACGCATGCAATTCCTTTGATTAAAAAATCCCATAGTATGATCCGAAGTCAGGGTAAGCGAACATATGTTTTCGATAATTCATCTTCAGGCTTATACAATTATATGCAAAAGCAAAATGTAGACAGACATTATAAGTCGTTACTAGTGGAGCGAGTTAACTGGATGCTGACAGCGCTGTCTGTTAAGCCACGACAATCGGCCGCGTGTGACCTTGTGGGTTAGAGGTCACCGGCCGTTTGGGCCAGGGCAGTTCCAAGCCTTTAGTTAGCTTCTTCTGAACACATAGTTCCGGTTCATACAGCCTGATCGCAATTGCTTCAGCGGCTTCTAGTAATCGCTTACGGACGCAGTTCGAGCGGTGCTTTGGGGCTTGATGTATTAGTTTGAATGAATCGGTGAACTTTGTCACGTGCCCTGTATCGGCTAGGTGCGCGACTATTGATGAGTTCGCTGTATTTCCACTTCTATTTGTAAGCCCGACCGGGTGGTGTTCCTTCATTCTCTCGGATAGATGCCGTGTCGTACGACCAATGTATTCCGCTCCACAGGAGCATGCAAATGAGTAGATACACATTGACTTGGTGTGGACAGGCCTGTTATCCCTTATCTCACCATCGGAAAGCTAGTGAACTGGATTTGCATCTGCGCTGCTGGATAGGTACGTCTGAGTGCAAACGAAAGACGACGAGATAGAAGTTCCGTCGCAACCTCGCCCTTGTATGGCAGCTGTAGGAAGATTGGCTTACGTTCTACTGTCAAAACTACAGGCTTTTTCTTCTTATGTTTCATGTTGGCTCTGATGAAGCTTTCCAGATAGCCGTTCTCCCTTAGCACTAAGCGAATGCACTCTAATTCTTCCGCATGCGTGTCATTCGAGCAGATACGTCCAGCTCGGCTCACTAGGGTATTTATCAAGTTCCGTTTAAACCTAAGTGGCACGAAGCTGTAGAAGTTTGTGTACTGCCCATTCCACGTACTTTTCCTATAGACGCAGCGCTGTAGCGCGCCCCCATCCAGTCTTTTCATGGCGACATCGAGGAAATGAAAGCGACCGTTTTCCTCCACTTCGCTGGTGAACTTTATTGCTGGATGGCCTTGGTTGAAAGTGTTTGTTAGTTCATCGATACTTCGAGACGACTGAAGCAAGACAAAAATGTCGTCCACGTAACGGCAATATAAACCGAGACTTGAGATCGTTGGCTTTAGCTTTCCCTGTTCCAGCATGCCCATGAAGACGTCGGCTAGGAACGGACCCAGTGGGGAACCCATCGCTACCCCATCGCACTGCCGGTATAATTCGTCATTGAATAGAAACTGAACATTGAACGTGCATCTGAGCAATAGTTCCTTTAGGATCACCGTGGGTATGCCAACATTAATGTGGTTTGCATCAACATACTCACAGATGTAGTTTATGGTCTCAACTAATGGTACGTTGGTGAAGAGTGAAGTAACGTCGAGGGAGCACATGGTTAGATTAGAAACATTTACATCACGCACAATATCCATAAACTCAAAACTATCCTTCACAGTATGCACAACAATTCGCTCTCGAATAGATGTAAGGATCAAAACCAGCCACCGAGCAATCGAGTGATATGGCGAGTTTTTCATATCCAAGACGGGACGAAGGGGGACGTTAGGCTTGTGAGTTTTTGGTAGCCCAAATAGCCTTGGAATAACCGTTCCTACCGGCCGAAGTTGTTCATAAGTGGCTTCGTTGATGTAACCATCCTTTCGAAGCTGTTTAAGACAGTTGCAAAGTTGAGTTTCAATCTGTTTTGTTTTGTCTTTCTCACCTATGGCCCTCAGAAACTTGGTTTTATCTGCCAGTATTTCTTTCATTTTGCTCAAGTAGTCCACTCTGTTCATGATAACAATACCTGCGCCCTTATCTGGCCGAGTGAGTAAGACCTCATCATTGCTAACCAGACGGTTAAGAGCTTCAAGGTGTTCTTGTTTTACCGAAGTGTTATGTACTATCCTCGCACGTCGGTACTGGTAGCATGCATGTACTAGAAATGATTTAAACTCTTCCACATGCATTTTAGAACAAGGAATCAGCTGAGATGACTGTGTGCACACGTTTTCAAACTGGGCCTCTATTGCTAGTCTATTATCCTTCCTAGCAGGAAAACAGAATTTAGGGCCTAATGATAAGACCTCCATTGTAACACAATCAAGCGTCAGGCGACGATAGTGTGTTCAACAGATTAAATTAAATGGATTGATGCTTTATGCGTAACCATGAAACGTTCTCTAGAAGTGTTTGGGCGTACCACATTCGATCATTTCTATTTGTTGCCCATAGTCCATCTCCTCATATGCGTTCAGTCGAATAGGACGCGTTTTATCACTTCTTTTCTATGGGCTGCACCTTCAAACCGACTTCTTTCCCAGAGGTTTGCAAACGTGGTCTAATTTGGTAGTAGTCCTTACCCCTTACTAACGGATGCGCTCGAAAGGACAACTGTATAGAAAGATGCAACTATTGTAAGCTCCTCGCTTTATTTGTAGGCCCTGTTGACACACTCGTTTTCTAGGTCAGCTGTAGTAGCTGCTAAAAATCGCTAGACCAAGATACCATGTAGTGTTCTAGATCGATCTAGAGTGGATTGAAAGCGTCTGTTGGGGCCTTTTGATTCAACCAGTTTTCTCACCGAAATATTATTTCTTCCAGTTAAATTTGTTCTGTTTACTTGTGTCCTCATTGCCACACTAGGAATGATGGTTATGACAATGAGTCATACTAATAGTGCTTTTTTTCCAAATTGGAACAATTTTAAGATCCTTTCCTCTCAACTTTGCACTCTACGATCTGATTCGACTAGTTTACAACCTGTGCATCTTGGCTTCCGTCCAACATCTTAACCACTAGGTCATGAAATTCCACAAGCACCACCTACTGCAATAGGGATTTATTTTTTGATACGATCGACTCTACAGACACGGTCGAGGCTTACTTAACAAGCAAATCACGATCTCGATTTCAATACAAAACTCACAAGTGATAAATCGCACCAATAATACTTGTTTCACATATTCATTGGAACACAATTCTATCTGGTTATCTGTGCTCGATCACCTCGCTTCTGTGGAGTAAGACAGCATCCGCCTCTCTCCCCACCCACTTCAGTTGCGCCGTCAACGCAGCGTCTACCGGACTTTGACTCGCACACGTCGCTTTGTGGTTGATGGCAAAGAAATCACTACAACTTCAACACGCGTTATTCATGCGAGCGCTGAGGAGCGAAGGTTGCGTGATGATGAATTGTGAGTTTGCACTTTGAAATGATTCTCATTCTACTACTTGTTTCCGCTAAATGTGGTCAGTTTTGCTGGCCGTGGCATCAGCAGTGCGTCGGTATGCAGTACCGACGTCTCGCTGCGCGCAACCACCACCAGTCGCACTTGCGGTAAGGATACTGCCTGGGTCGCCTGGTCTTCTACACAAGCTCGAACCCGCGACTTTAGGCTTGCAAGGCAGGCTTGTGATACTTAAGGTCACGGGCCACACAGGCTGTCCATTATTTGTATAGGGAATGCTGCTAATATTGTTTCGTCACAGCAACAAATATACGGATAGCGGGATTTCGGAACGGCTCAGTGTGATTCCTTTCACCATTACATTCTTGGAGATGTATTTTTTCTTCAGGTTAAGCCATTCCCACAGTCCCAGTGATTCTCGTAGTTTCAGCGCAACACGAACATCCACGGGCATATCCAGACCATTAGTCACGGCATTGTCTCTTCCATTCGGGCGGCTTGTATATCTGTAGAGTTTCCGCTTAGCTAGAGTCATCTTTAATGCTCTTGTTAAGACCATTTTGTTCGTTTCCATTTCCATTTTGCCTCGCTCTGTGCAATGTGGTTTTTATTGTCTCTTACCCTCATTTACATTGCGTGGCCTCGACCTGCGTTGTGTACTCGAGTCCTATGGTGTTTCCATAGTACGCGTACTTCTGTTGAGTGCTAAATCAAAAGGACGAATCTTTCCTTGTTGGATTGCGCTCATTGTCTAGGTGTGAGTTCACTGCAACTGACCATTGATAAACATCACGTACATTATCATTGTTACTCGGTTGCTCAATTGTTCCTGTTATCCATCGAGCTACATGTGATTGTGCTTACTCAATTCTCTCGTGGTTACTCATTGCCCCATTGTCTTGTGACTCAAGCTGTTGAATCATAAACTGGAACTTGGAAACTTTGAGCAATGCACTTACCTCTTCATGAGCATTCGGAGCGTATCCGAATCTCACACAGCGCAATCGCTAATTTTCCTTCATCTTTTTTCGCTCTTACTCCCACCTCTTCTTCTATATATATATAACTACCGCCTATCACTTTGAATACGTCTGCTTAATCTTGCCTGGTTAGTTTTCCAAGTCGTCTGTCTCATTTCATATCGGGTCTTATGACAGCTGCACTTTGTCTGACCGTCAGCAGTCGGCGCCATCATTTGCTCTCTGTTTTCCTTTATTTGACAAGTAATGTTTCCCCGAGCCCCATGCAGAGCTTCAGCATCCATACGCACCAAGGTCCCTGCGTCGCTGGTGATATTGAGTCATTGACTCGGAATGTTTGCGCTGGTATTGAAAGTAACGGGAAAGGCTGAAAACCCACTTGTCTAATGGATCCCTTTGAATGCCCACTTGTGCATCGTTTGCTTTCTAAGCTCAGACGAAGTTTATAGACCGCATCAGGAAACACTATAACAGTGTTGTTTTCGTATACAATCGACCTAGCTGCAGCTAAGAAGCCGCCAAACACTAAATCTATCTCCACCTCGGTGTAGCCAAGAATGTGGACATTGTGCTCATGACAAGTGGCATGAATCCTCAAATGAGTCTCTTGTGAATTATCATCCAACATCTTATAGTGGGGTGTTTCAGAGCGGTATTCGCCATATTGATCGTGTTGATTGTTTTTCTGGATTGTGTTCACGTCAAAACGTCCAACACTCTAGCAGTACATGCTCGTACAAATGTCCTCTGGTGCCTGCTGAATAACGTATCTTGGGTCACGTTAACACTACACCACCATGAGCTGGCGCACGTCACTGCAAGCTTTCCGGTCGATATAAAATGCTCCTCTAGACCCGACCATGTCCTGGTGCACGCTCGCCTAGTGCTTACGTTTGTAGCCTTAGAAAAGCACTTAAATTCAAAGTTGTTCGCTTATGCTCTGAACCCATCATGTTCCAAATGGTACCACAATTACGGGCTAGAACACTAGCACTCGTTGACGAAATCAGTGAATAAACTTTAGGCGATTCCGGAGTCGCCCCCAGTGTGCCACGCAGAGGGCTTTAGAAGCCGCTTACTCATCAAAGTTGGCTCATTCTGTAAGTGGATTGATCTCTGATGCATTCCTTAGCTTGTTTCAAGCGAGGAAATCGCTTTCACTAAGGGGACGATTTCAGAATTAAGAACTTCTGTTTCCAAACAATCTCTTACCTCCTTTTCGGTACCCTCTAATGCTGCACTTCCTCACATTGTTCCTTTCCTAATTTTGCTGGTCACCTGGTCATCCCAATTTTTTGGTTGTAGCAGCCCTGCTGTGAGCATCAAGGGGGTGCGGATCTCTCGGAATATCTATTGAGCCGTGCTATAGGGCAACGCTTCTCCGCGCTTACCTCTTTTTCTAGTCTCATTATACTAGAGCCTTCGCCTGACACTGTTGCCAATGGTAACAATCCTCAGGCTAGCTTATTCGTCCATTCTGTTCCCCTTGCTTTAATAGCAGTAAAAGGCACAATGCTGGAAACCCCGTTAGCGAACGCCTTGAACTCGGCGCATGCTGTTTATGGCCTGTTTTCGGTAATCACTGTACTGTATCTCTTGTTGTTCGACGTGTGCCGTATTTTGTCTGTGGTCGTCTGCACAGCAGAATTACTTAAGCATCCCATTAAATAGAAGTCATTGAAACAGATCACAGTGATTGCGTTTTCTTTAGTACTTTGCCAACGGACGCCCACTCCAACGGACTTTCACAGCCTTTGTAAACTATTTCTCAGCAGCCCAAATGTCGAGTTTGGAGTTGCTCTCTCTCTCCCTCTCTCTCTCTCTCTCTCTCTGCACTCTACGACCCCTTTTCTTTCTCACTTGGACTTTTCAGGTGAATATTGTCTAACCTGGGTGTGGAATATGGTACATAGTGATTGACAGCTCACGGCTTGATCAACTAAGCCATTGAGCTCCGCGAGCAGCGTTTGATAACGCGGCTCTTAGTACATTGGGGGGGAGGGGGGTTCGGAACACACGCCGTCTATCTGAATTGCGACACGCACTCATATTTGTGGCCACGCTCTACTTGGAAACAAATCCGGGTATTCCTATTAATGGAACCGCATCCGAAGTGGAAAACTTTAGTATTGCTGTCTTTCAACCCTGGAGTTAAATAGCTTATTGAATTATACCAGTTAAGTTTTGGCGTTTTGTATGCGATTATTCTCAGCTCTTCGTTCAACTGACTATGCAGGTGTGGAATTTGACCCCTGTGAGTGCATCGGTTATGTACACTTGTGTCACAATCACGTGCTACTACCAGTGCTGAAACTGACCAGTATATGTTTCGCGTCGGCTCGTAACCTTAAGGATCACAAGCCTTCGTATGGACCGGACGACCCTCGCCGTATCTTTAGCCCACGTGGGACTGGTGGTGGTTGTGGGCCGGCGAAGCGTCGGTCCAGCGTACTGCTGATGCCTTTTCGCCTTGTTGCTTTCATCGGACTGTACTTGTATGACTGACGTATACTAAACGTTCATCTCCGAGGAATGTATCAAGACCGGCTTGGCTCGATGCAATTGTTGAGGTAATGCTTGCCATCCAATGCCATGACATCGATTACTATTTCCAAGAAGCCACTGTTATTCCAGCACGGGGCAATCAACAGTCCAGCAATTGTCCTATGTTCGTTGTCTAACACGCTCGTTCCCACAGCATTGCAACACTGGGGTGTGTTGCTGCCTCCTAACCATTCGCGACACCCAACCGCTTGCCCACCCATTTTTATTCCTTCGGTCGTACACCAGATATGTGATATGTTGGTGGTGTGACGTAATCCACTTATGACTCCTCTGTTGGCACCCGCTTTTCGAAGTCACATCGACAGACCTGCCTGGCAACAGACTCCACCATCTGTATCTTTTTGATGAGATTGTTTATACATCTGGTCGCTAAAAGTCGCAAGGACACTACCTTTTCTGCGCCACATTCAAACGGGAGCCAGATGTTTCTCGCCGTGTATGGTTTACAAGGTCTAGGCGTCTTGATCATGCTTGTTCACTTAACATGTTCATATCCTGCGTTATATTTACTCTCCATTTCTCTTCTTGCTGCTTATTTGCAGTTTTATCTCTGATAAGTTACCGTTGCGCAGCGGCGAGACACTAGTTCAGAGCACTTACGTGTACCTGTCGATGCTCATCATCATCATCATCCTCATCCATCATCATCATCGTCATCATCATCATAATCGCCATCCTCATCATCACACGTTAGCAAGAGGTGGGAGACACCTCAGCCATTGTGTCGCAATACGTAAGAAAAAGAATAGAAACACCGCAGTTGCATGCCAGCTGAGCTAGCCCTGTCGATACTGCTGAATACTGAATAATAAACACTGGAAATAGCGAGCGAGAAGATATACTTCTGACTTGTTCCATCAACATTTGATCGTGTACGCACGCGCAATAATATCATTGTAGTTGTACGATGCTGTTTACATCAATAATCCGCCAAGTAGGCGCCTAGGAATGTCTTGAACTTTCAAACTGATTTCGCCACAACTATTGATGTCGTACCCTAAGAGCCGGTCCTTCGCCTAATGATAGTGAGCTTGTCTTGTAATCTGACGGCGCGGGTTCGAGCCTGCGTTAGAGGCAAAGCGATTCTCGCAGTATCCGTAGCCCGCGTGCGACCGGTGGTGGTTGCACGGTAGCGAAACGTCGGTACTGCGTATTGCTGATGCTTTTTATTGTTTTTGGCAAACCATTCTAATGTTTCACCGCTTGGCGTTCGAATCATAAGAGCGTGAGTTATCCGTTCCAGATCTGGTACAACACGTCCACTTGGTACTCACCTGTGGTGCAGCGACCTTAGCATGGGTACGTCACCCATAAGTGGTACTCTCCGGTGGGTCATTAGGAAGTCAACTGGAAACCGACAATATTACGGGGTGTACAGCCCTAGTCTCCTGCATCGCTCTTGCTACTGCCTATCCCGTGAATTAGGAATAAGCCTGGTAACTAACCACATACTGAGCCCCTTCTAGTTTCTGCATCTCACCGCTGGTGGTCAGATAAATGGTGGGTAAGCCATACTGTGTGACTGCGGAAATACATGTTTCCGCTATCCTGATATGGTTTTAAAACTAATCCAGTAACAGTAGGGCGTCTCGAGTTGCACCGTTCCGAAGAATTGTTCGGAAGCGGCGTTTCAGAACGTGATGGATTTTCGCATAGCAAGCTTTCTCTATGTAAAGGACACTTGTCGTAACAGATGTGACTCGTCACTAAATAAGGTTACTGCTCTTTGTTTCATCCTGGCGATGCCTTGTTTTCCAGTAACCTGCAAGCATATTCAACCAACAAATGAAGGCGGATGAACTGTATGATCAGTCACCAAATCTCAATTAGCGCGATTCTTTAACCTCACTCCGTTATTTTGCGGGTGGGCTATTTAGATACAATGTGCACCGGACTCGAAGTATCACGAGTAAAATTTTAGAAATGATTTTTTGCACTTCCATGAAATCATGCTTTGTATATGCGGCCTAACTCCCTGGTAAGCTCTTCCATTTGCTACATTATTTCTTCAACAGTCATCCAGTCATTTTAGTCTTTTATTTCACCTACGAACATTTGAAGAGCCTACGTTTTTATCTTATCTTGAGTCTCAACGGTCTGAATCCGGTTTGACATTCGAGTTACGCGTGTTACGAGTTCATACAGCATACCAACGAGTTTGATCGGCAAATTCTCCATCGCCGGGTTTCCGGAATTTCGTGAACTAGAAGTTAACTAGAAGTGTGCTTCGTGTCGATCAATTGCTTGCCGTCTGCAGATCTGTTGCTGCTTATAGCAGTTCCACCTTTTACAATGATTTGCGAATTTCTGTTGATCCCTCATATATTGGCTTTTTTCAACGGTGGTAACAATGACATTCTCACACCTGTTGGCATTATGACTTCCATCAATCAAACATCCCCCTCGGCTTGTTGCTTGGACAGTGGAACCATCCGGAAATACTTGAATTTGCCGCTTATTCTCTTCTCAATGTGGCACCTTGAAAGTATCTACCTCAAGAATCGATTTTTATAGAATGTTTTCCATTTAAAAGGAACAGCGAACCGCTTTCGTGGAACGATACCTAAATGCGGGACCTACAAATGTTGATCAGGCAACAGATCTGCCATGTCTGCTTGTTGCTCTCCTGGTCTTTGGGCAGCACCAGCTCCCACCTTAGTCTGTAAAGGTGTAGAATGCCAGCTCCGATTCGATTTCTTTCTTTTGAGGCTTACACGTTCTTCACAGCAAATAACTTGAATTTTTTCCTTCTTGGCATTCTGAACGGTGACGCTGCCGACGTCGTTTTTCTAATGATGACAAAGACGTATATTTCAAACCGATTCCTGTTCGCTCTCATTTAGCAGCGTGTTAGCGCGGTCAGCAGTCTATAGAGCCATGACTGTTGGCATTAGTGTTCGATGGTCATTGGCAAGTGAAGTGACCATTCTACACATTAAATCTTGACTTCTTCATCTGTCCATTGCGTGTTACTTCGTTATGGTCCTTGTGCTGAAGCATCGTACACAGGTTATCTCAAGACGGTCTTGCGCACCAACTCTCATGTTTTTACACTGATACCTGGCATGTTTTGCAACACCATCTGTTTGGATTGCTCATATCCGCCTCATCTACTGTTTCTGGGTTGTGTCGCTTTCAATCCTTACGACATATTTTGTTCATATGCCGTTGTCTCATTTCTCCTTCTTCATCCTTCTAGTATCGTGTTCTACCGATTGCCAGTTTGATCTTATACTGAGTAGCTATCACTTTACCTTATCTTCCGCATTAGAAATAAGCGTAAAGCTGAGCTGCGCGCCTTCCGTATTCTGGGCAAACGGGAGGCTCTACAGACCCGGGAGATAACCGCACGTGCGGCTCAGCTGAAAGAACAGCTCGAGAACAAATTGAGCTCTGAATTTTTGGTATGTTTATTCTATCCTTTTTTATTAAACGGTTTTGCTTTCTAGATTTCCGCCAACCTTTGTATCGAGTCATGGATTTCGTACCCCGTTTTCGTCTATATTCGTGTGTATCTATCTTACATTCGGTTTATTCTCTTCTATCTGGCCCTAGCCTACAGATAACAAGCTCGTCTTGTAATCTGACGGTGCGGTTTCGAGCCTGCATAGGGGCAAGGCGACTCGCAGTATCGTTAGCCTACGTGCGACTGGTGGTTGTTGCGCGGTAGCGATACGTCGGTACTTCGTACCGGCGTACTGCTGATCGCTTTTTATATCCTCAGTCAGCCAAAAGACTGTCATGCTTCTAGACGATTTCCTTGCTGCTGCTCCGGATTCTCTTGTACTCTCCCTGCTTAGAGATGATGTTGAGTTCCTGTGAAGGAATTTTTGTGTCGGATGACACCAGTGACTCCACAGTAATGAGGCTTTCCTGCCCCCAAACGATATTAATCCACTTGTCCAATAATACTCAGATAATAAACCACCCCAGCCAGTTGAGAAGAATCGACTACTGTGGCAGTATTCATGAAGAGCAATGACAATGTCTGCACAAGCCATTAGGATATGGGATTGCCGCTCTTATTGGAAATGGTACTAATTTCCATTCTCGTCCACTGTTTCGGTCGAAGAATGGACAGACAAGTTTCTGACCGGAACGGGGCGCTACTTTGGCAAGCATTATGTATTCGTACCAATTGTTTAGTGAGGAGCACCTAGTTTTGTTTTCCGAGTGTAGTATAACGCAAGCCTCGGGATAAAACTCGTTAGTTCGGTAGCTAGAGCTGAAGTCACTGATTATCAATTTGGGTCCCGTTGATCCGTTTCATTTTCCATGCTGGGGCACATGCGGTCCGTCACGTACACGTTTCGGAGCCTTACAGATCATGGCTCGTGATGCGCGTTGCTGATGTGTTTATTGTGATCTACTGACCAGACTTGTTTAATGTACATTTGGTGCTAAGTAATGAAAGCTCCGCGAACGTTGTCTCATTGGCGCCATTTTCCTTCTCACAACGGCCATCCGTTTGTGTTCGTGCAGTGTTAGTGTTGAGTAACCGTTTTAATCTATGTTTACTTTGAGGATTTAGCTTTTCCCCTAGTCTCCCTCTGAATGGCTATCATTACCCAGGTCTTCATGATTACGTGTGACCGAAGCTTTAGCGTAAATACCTATATGTATTACTGTCGTCAATGACGCTGAAATAAACTGTTTACCTTCACTACATGAGTCGTCCGTTCCTATCTTTCCAACTGATTAACTATGCATTGTAGACTTCAACACCGCGCTTGATCCACGAGTAGTTTGCGATATAGTTCAGCTGTATTTCAGCCAGCCCAAATCAATCAGACACTTCCTTCTTTCCACAAAGTAAGAAGCAACCACACTTTAACAGAACATTCTGAATTCAGTAATTTCGCGTATTCTCTTCAGCTGTTTACAGGCAATTTGTGGAAAGGATTGGCTATATACGAAGGGAGATCAAGTTGCAATATTATGGGCGAAAATTTAAAGCGGTTGAAAATCGATAAGTTCATGTGACCCGGTCCGAGGAAAGACGACACTAGCGAGGCTGGTCGCGAAGTCCGTTTATTTGCACAAACTTGGTTTCAACCGGCGAATCGTCGAGGCCTCAGCGAACTGAAGTAGACGGGGACTGCTTTGTTTGTTGATTACCATAAGCCCACCACGTGGGTTTGCACACACAGGGCGATCAAGTACGAGGCGTGCAATAGACCTAGTAGTTAGTTTCGGGCAATTTGCGACCACTTGTATCGGGGGACATGCTCTGCAATCCTCGCTGACCGCCTTCTCTCAGTTCTGCCAACGTATTTGCTACCGCAAGTAATGGTAAAGAGGTAGATGCACGAAGCGGCAACTTGAGAGTCCGGTCTGTCCAGGTTAGATTTGTACAGCAGCCTTCTGACTTGGTACATTGCCACCAGCTCAGCCGCCTAATGGCACTTCTTAAGAGACTGACGAAAACTATGCCGACGTCTTCTTTCAACTTGGTCCGACTTTCGACCGCTTTAAATTTTCGCCGATAATATTGCACTTTGATTGCCTTTGCTATCTAACCTGTCCTTTCCCCAAATTTTTTGTAAACAGCCGAGGAAAATACTCCAAATTACTGTGTTCAGTGTGTTCTGTTAAAATGTGGGTTTTCTTGCTCTCTTGAAATTTGTGAAGGGAAATGTGCATATGAACCTTCCTTCTCTCGGGACCCCTCCACAGTTGGGATTTTCTCATCTCGTTGGGGAATTTGAAGTCGTAGCTCAGCTGTTGCAGACAACCTTCATTCTACAGCCAGTAGCAGAATTGATTGGGTAACTGGTCCTGGTATGTCGCGATCCTCAGCCAACACAATGTGACAGCCTGCTCACACTTGATCTGCCGATTGACCATTGGCACCTTGATTAGGTTGCCCAGGTTTAGTCGGCCGCATTACCTATGTTTACAAAGATCTGCTGGTGAACGAGTTCGCTTTCCATTGCATTCCGGATCGCGATTCTTCGGGAAGTCTAAGGCTGCTTCACTGTCAATTTTTTTATCTCACCATTTTGGCTCGCTTTTCTGCTAGCTCGCGTGCTGCTTCCGCTCGAATTCTGGGTACTCATTTTGCTGTTGGTGGTGGTGGTGGTGTGGACGTCGAAATGGGGTACATTTACTGTCTGACTGGTAATTGAGGTAACTCCATTTCCTGGTAATTCGCTAACTTCACGCGAAGATGAGCTTGATGCCAGTACGTGATAAGGGCGAAAACGATCCAAACTTTGTCTATCTGTCGATTAACCCGCTTTGATGTTTCTGAATTAGCTAGTGACCGGAGCTTTACTTTAGAGGAACTGTATGTTCCAACATGACTGGATTATAGACTTAGATTGAGGTTGTGTTTTCATGATGAAAAGCTACGGAATAAAAATGGGACGCTTGGATTGTCTAAGCCCCCATCAACCCTGTTCGGTGCGGTGCATGGGGCGCTGTTTCGCGTTCTGTGCTAACTCTGTGGAACCGTTCGTTGTAACTCTTGATGTTTTGTGTCCGGTTATTTCACGTATCATTTCTATTTACCTCCTTAATCTGTGTACGGGTTAGAACACAGATGGTAATCAGCATAAACGTTCACCGGTGAAATCCCAGCGATCATGGGACATCTAGCACTGACCGACATTTCGCGTGAACAAATGTAGTCACATCCGCATCAGTCATTTCCAAGGTGGCCACTTTCTCCACCTATGCAAGTCAAGACTGTTCACCGGTTTTATCGCCCTTTCGAATCGCGGAGACCCTGCTTATTTACTACGAACTGAAAGCGTTCTGTGCGGTTGCAACTGCAGGTAGCCGGCGTAGGTCCCTGCTATTACCTACTCGTAATTTCAGACAGCTTTGAGCAGTTTGTGACCACTTTCCATTTTACGTAGGCTACCTGCCGTTTGCTTATCAACTTTATCAACTCAATAGTAGTTGGGACTTTAATCTGAGCTGTATTGGTTTTTATCCGCACAAGTGCAATAGTGCCACTTATTCAACATACCATTATTTGTTTTTCCGTTCAGCGGAGATTGCCATTACAAACTGTTCCCTGGTCGTCATATATTTAATCACGCTCGATGAGTAGCACCAATCGGTACAAGCGGAGTCAAAGCCATCGCGAAAGCACTACCACCAGTCTAGCGAAAGACGATAAGCCTGTGCCAGACTCAGGAATGTTTCCAGAGTGAAGTAAATAGAACACAGAGTTGGTTTAGTATGGTTTCTTTGTTGGCGATCTCTGGTTCCACAACGTTGATGTTGTGATTCTCTGCCATGTCTCTCCCTCGTATTTGCTGTGACAAGCGCACAAGCTACATTTCAAAGTATGTCTAGCGTGACCAGGCCATAGATTGTCTGAGGCCACTTGCCAGACTTATAGCGCAACATGCCTGATCGCGCTGCATGCCATAGCCAGCATAAGCTGTTCAGGTCAACTAACGGATCGAGAGCCGCTGAACTGCTTCAACGCACCACTTCTTTCACCATTCAGTGACTGTGGTTTTTTGCAAACAAATAAAGCTCGACTGGTTTTGTCTTATTTCAATAAGCCGACTTCTCACGTATGCCGGCTATTGCTGAATTGTCCACTATTTCATTTATGATGACGTGCATTCCTCATCCATACTTTTGTCTACTTTACGTTACTGATTAGCGTATATCAGCGACCGAAGATAGTAGGCGAAATTGCTAACTTCAGATTATTCTGTCATCGTTCACCATGTTTTTGCGCGGCGTTTTTTGGCTTAACCATCAAATAACAGGCAAGTGTTGAGTCATTCAACGGAAATCCAATACCTTCTGATTAAACACAAGACCTTTCATATTGCAATGCATAGATGATCAGAGACCGAAATCATATCCCTTCTAATCGCTAACCGAGCCGATGCTAGTGTTTACGAGGAAGATGAGGCTCACAACCCAAACCACCTCAGCAGGTCACGTCGCATCAAACTTCGGTCCCTTCCTTTCGTCAACGGAATTTCCAACTTTACTCTCCTCGATGTATTTCTGTGTTGTTGTTTTATCGTCACTTTGTCATGCGAAGGTGAGGGGTATTTTTGTACTTTCACGGACGGAGGAATTTCTTTGACGTTTCTGATTCCTTCCCCACAGGCGCTCAAGAGAAGCTACGAACAGAAATTGGAAGTTGTCGCAAGAAATTACCGAGCACAACTGGAGAGACTCGAAAAGGAGTTTGAAGCGGACGCTAAACGTATTCGGATTGACTGCGTAGGTTAAATTTAATATAATCACTTTGTTCCGAATGCGCCCTGTGCTCCAGCACGGTGTGCAGTTTTGCTCATTTACCGATTGTTGTGATCGCACCTAACTCACTAGGAAATTGTCTGACTATGGTGGCTACTCCCATATTTTACTACTCTGCACCTGAGAAATCCTTTTAAAACGCAAGATGCATGTTGCCTTCGCCATAGCTATCATTCTACACTAGCCTATCACTTGACCGTTGGCTACCGTCGATTTCCTATTTGCGCCACCAAGGCCCACATTGTTTTATGAAGACTGTTTCTCATCCCGTTCTGTCGTTTTCCATTTTATCATCCATGCCATTGTTTGAGCGCATTACTATGCAAAACAAAGTTCCTTTAGCGGCGTCCTGAAACAGAAATCAAGGCAGCGCCCAGTTATGCGGCTTCGGTGTCATCCTTTTGGTGGGAGATAGTCTATTTGGCGATGACCGAGTCTTTGTTATTTTTAACTACTTTTCAATATGGCAAATATGTCATAACCCATCATCCACATTTTCGGCCAACGGTCTTGCGTGGTTATCAATGCTAGTGACCCGACTCTAAAGTACAGATGCATAGTCTGCTCCGGGTTCAGTCGCCATCGGTGTTCGCAGTTTTAGGTTTCACGGGCACTTCACATTTGGGCTCTTTTCTCACACGTTACCCGGGCATTCCACTGATGCACGCTCATCTGTATGCGTTTCGGCAAGCACCTCTGTTGATGGGTACTTATCCACTCTTTTTGGCATACGATCCACACTCATTGAAGATAGCCAGCAACCGTTCAACTGCTCGGTTATGGTTGGGAATGCTGATTATAACCAGTAAACGATTCCCATTCCGCATTTCGAATGCTGTCTTTACTGCTCGTTTCTCTGCAATTCGCATGTTGAGTTATCTAACTGCTTCGAATTTTGGCTTGTGGTTAGAACCACTTGAGATTAGAGGACATTTGACTATTTGCAGCTCTCCTTAAACTTGGCCAGATCTAATGAGTCTGTGCATGAGGAGCATACCATATTTAGGGAACTAGGACAACAACGACCGAAGAGGGTAGATACATCTGTAAATCCGTTTGTTATCTTGCATGTCGTTGAAGGCGTTGACTTCAACCATCCATTGGCATCTGGCTTGCAGAGTAGGCTAGAAACTACCTACCACTTGATTAGAGAGTCATCTTGTGGCATACATTGTGTGAATGGATTGCAACGCGTAATCTCAATGTGGACCGTGATTCTCGTTGAAGTGAACCTTGAACAATTGGATCCCTGAGACCGTAACCCATGAAGCAGATCGATATTGGGTGTTGCCCATCCGAAAAAACTGCACAACCAAGACCGATTTCGCGGTCTACATTGTGATTGCGGCTCGTAGTGCATTCACACAACGGGTGCTTTAAAATGGTCCTGCAGTTAGCCATCGTCCGTTGTACCAAACGTTACTGGACTTAACTCGGTAGCCAAAGGGTATAGGTTGCGGCTGAGATTCCGATGGTCCCGGGTTCGAGGGCTCCTATATCCTTCTGATGAGATCACATAAGGTTGAGACCGGTCATGGAGTGCAGTATTTTCGGGTGGATAACTCAATTTCTATCTGCTTACCATGTGTTGGGTCGCCTAATATCGTCCATTCTACTCGCCTTTTCCGCACTGAAGTTCGGGGACATTGATCTTTTCCTGTCTGCTTTCACCTCACCTACATCCGTTACTCAACCTCTTGGGCGTTATTGCTCTGCAGTTAACCTTCACCTCTTTCATTCTCATCCTCTTTATCCTCAGTTGATATAGAAGACACAGACGTTTCTCCTTGTGTGTTCAATATATATTCTGCTCCGCTTTAAAATTGATTTGTACTTTCCCCCTATTCATTACACTTGAGTTGCTTCCAAGGAATTTATGCCATCTGCAATCACATGTATTATGTATTTGAGTATATTTAGGGGTTCCTTGGTCTTTCATCGACTGTCCAAAAAGTTTTTCTCTGTAGACCAGTTGTTTTCACAATCGAAACATCTTCCCGCAAACATCTTCCTCTAATGTTTTGAACTCTCAACGAACCCGTTTGTTTGCTGTGTTCTCTATGGTCACGCATGCGTCATATCCAAAGGGGCAGGGGAGTTGATTTGCTCGCTCAATTTCGAGGCTAACTAAAGCCTGTCTCATGAATGGTGTCACGATCGAACGTCAGCGCGTGACCGCTGCGTCTTCACGAAGGCTTAGCTACGCCACAGCACAGGCTGTCGTACTAACCACGAGTGGCCGCGACAACTTAATGCGCATCGTTCATGCGAGCCAATTCTTCTCACGAATCACGATGCATTCTCATGGCATTCGATCTTTTTGCAACCAACGAGTCCAGGGAAACGAGTGATCACCCTCGAGGATGACGTCATCGGTTTCATTCTCAGTTGGTTCCTCATCATAATTTTTAAGCACACTAAAAAAACAAAGTCCGGCAGATGCAGACCTTTCAACTCGCATCCTGGATGGCATTAACGGTAACTCGCTAGTGCATATGCACCATGTTTGTTATGCAATTGGACAGATGCGTTGTTCTCCCAAGTCAAGCTCATCACCAAATAGTTGTTACCCCCATGGCGTTATCTCGACCGGTTCACCACCGATCCCTTCCAAGTTTCATCCGACACGTATTTTGTTTGCTCCATTCCTTCGCTCTTGTCCACGACTATCTTCATGTACCAGACATCTCCACCGGTCATTTAGCGCACAGGCTATTTTTATAATTCAACTTTAATTTTTTCGCTCTTTCAGTTATTTCAGGAACATCTCTTCTTTTTTCATTGTAACCATCGGTCGTATTATTAGAATGTCCTTAGACATTTATTTTCTCACATTGCGCCTACCAAATGAAGGTAAAAGAGCAACAGTCATTCAAGGATCAGTTGCGCTCCGAATTGGAGAACTACAGCCGTGCTGAGCGCAAGGCTGTCAAACGTGAGCTGCAAGCAGATCATTCTTCCACTTTGGCCTTCCCATCTTGGTCTGCTCCCAACAGTTCGTTGATCTCACTCCGATCAGCTACATCAAACTCTGGGTCAGCGATTAGCCAGAGATTGAGCGTGTTCAAAGAGAAACAAGATACACGTCTTAACGACCAGATTTGTCAACTAACGACAAACTTTAACGCACGACTAAACGCCCTGAGACAAGAGGAATTAGTGGAGAAACAAGCACTTCGAATGAGTGAGCCTCAACCATTTTTACTATTTTTTACACTGTTCTTGCTGCACCTCGATTGGATTTACGCGGTGTGTTTTACTTCTGTCCGATTGAGTTTGCCTCATATATGTTACGATGTAGTTGCGCGCGCATTTTTCTAACCGTTTTGTCTGAGAGTATAACGGGAGTGATATGTTTCCGGTCATATGGTTAGTCTTAGTTCTGTTCGTTGTTTTACTTCTGACCTAAGTTTTAACTTTCAGTCGCTTCTTTTCTCTCCTCCGGCTCCCTTACCTGCTGCACACTTTTCAGTCCGTCTTGATAAGACTACACCATTTCCCGGCCAAGTTGTTCTCTTGGGCAACAGAACTACTCTGAGGAGGCATTCAACATGAGTCTACTCAATTAATTTGTTCCGTGCGTAGGAGCTGAAGCGTCCCACCTGCACCCCTATGACTTAGCGCGTCTGAGGTCCAATTGGCTGAAGGCGACGGGCTATACACGCACACCTGCACAAGTGACTGGCGTACGCACGGAACAAATTAATTGAGTAGACTCATGTTGAATGTCCCCTCAGATTATTTCTGTTGCTCAAGAGGACAAGTTGACCGGGAAATGGTATAGTTCTTAAAGTCAGTTTGTTTACGCGGTTTTCCAATCCCCTGAGCTTTACTCAGTGGTGCCTTTGGTCGCACCGACGTCTACTTCCAAGAGATGTGTCAATGATTGGAGGTCCGATAAACTCGGTCTCCTGATTCACAAGGTTCGGAGTTCGTATGGCACTCACTTATGCGAAAATGTTTGGTCTCCTTAATTGCCTCTGTCTTGTAACCAGGCTTTGGCTGGTTAGCTTTTGCGTCCAACTCGCCTGACCTTGGTGCTTTGTTTGACGAGACCCAATTACATGTTGGCAATTAGCTTTCAAGTGCCAGCTGGTAGTTGCAAAAGCTGTGGGACGCAAGCGCTTGCCAGCCCATAGCAGGTTATAATGTGTTCCCACGGAGAGACATGAGCCACAAGCCACAATTGTACTTCTTTTGTACTATGGGCGCGCGGACGT